TATATATAATATGATATATATATTATAATATATATATATATATATATATATATATATATATATATATATATATATATATATATATATATATATAATATGATATATGTATTATATAATATATATATATATATATATATATATATATATATATATATATATATATATATATTATACAGATAAGTGTATAATCAACGGAACTATATGTTTGTATGGCCGTTGAAGGGACCGCAGAGCCGGCTTCCTCACTCCCCTCGGTGACCGTCGTTCCCTCACCTGTCAGCCAGAAAGGTAAATTGATCCTGACATATCGCTCACATCACGTGCCAGTGCTGACTGTTTATGATATCCCGAATGATTTTGTTTATCCATGATTTTATCATTTAATAGGAATTTAATATTGAGGTCAATGAATAAGAGTTATTCGCATGATACCATTTTAAAGGATTTACGCCCTGACAGATATGATCGATATCTTTAACGAGCAAGATGTTAATAGACTAAATACGAACGTAAAAACGCTTATTTGCACGGATTATCTAACCATCTTTCTAGCATAAATATAAGATTCTGTTGATTTAATATTTATTTTTAAACATATTTACGATTAAGTGTGTATCCCCTGCAAAGGATAAACATAGAAGAAAAACAGAGGAAGTTAGTTAGTCGCTAATACAGGAACGCCTATGTATGCTTAGTGCTCAAGTATATGCGCACGCACACGCATTCCTTTTCTATTCATTTGTTTTCTATTTTTCATTGTTATCATTATACTTCTTCCTATTGTAATTATCATTATTATAGTTTTTTTATTAGTAGTAGTATTAGTATTATTAGTATTATCACTATTATTGTTGTTATTATTAGTATTACTATTATGCATATATTTTTCCAGAAATTCTATTTTTCTGAAGTCATAAGATCAATTGCTGAAAAAAATATGTTGTTACTTTTTCCATTTTTCTAAAGTTTCCCCTCCTTTGTCTTCTATTCCTTTTAGCATCCTTGTTTACCTTGTCCCAGCTAGAAGACCACTCTTAATATCAACTGACTGGCATATCGTTTAACTCACTTCCATTTTGACAACACGGGTGTCGAGTGATTTATCTATGGATCAGTTCACTTCATTTATAATAATTCAGACTTCCCTCGCGTGAGCTGACTGGTCTGTGGTCAAGATCAGTCCAGTCTTGACAACTCAGATTAATCTCGGGTTAAGTGACTGGTCTACGGTCCAGTTCACTTCACTTCCAACAACTCAGACCGCTCTCACGTCAACTGACTGTTCGATGGTCACTTCACTCAGACCTTCACTATAGCATCAACTGACTTCAGTGCTCCACGTCACTTCATTCAGACCAAGTCACGTCAACTAACGGCCCAGTATTCCCCGTCACTTCATTCAGATCACAATCACGTCCACTGACTCTTCAGTACTGTACGTCACTTCACTCAGACCGCTTTCACGTGAACTAACGACCCACTCTTCTCCGTCACTTCACTCAGACTACTCTCACGCCAACAGACTGTTCACGTCACTTCACTCAAACCACTCTCATGTCAACTGATTAGGTCATGCCAGGTCACGCGGTCTCCCATGACATAAGGCCTCCTTTCACTTTCTCTTTAGCGCTTGACTCTGCAGTTGCAAATCTCTTCGCTTAGCTGAGTTGCCAGATTGACCAGCTGACTTAACTCTCTCCCAACGTCTCTCCTGGAAAGTAAACAGGTGACTTGGTGATTATATTATACTATGCAATCTTATTGTGATGTTATAGGAGAGGTCTTAGTAAAGGGGTATACCATACACGGAGGTATAAGTGTGGCTAGAAGGCTAGAAGGATACGTACTTACAAGATCACACTTATGTAAACGCACAGACTGGTTTGTATATTTTGTTGTTTGGGAGGTATCTCTGTTTTAAATATTCTCTCTCTCTCTCTCTCTCTCTCCCTCTCTCTCTCTCTCTCTCTCTCTCTCTCTCTCTCTCTCTCTCTCTCTCTCTCTCTCTCTCTCTCTCTCTCTCTCTCTCTCTCTCTCTCTCTCTCTCCCACTCAGTAGCTCACTCATTATATCACTCAGTAACTCACTCACTCACTCTCTTTCTCTCGATATATATATATATATATATATATATATATATATATATATATATATATATATATATTTATATGCGTATATGTATATTCTTTATCAATATAGCTACAATAATCTTTTGGCACATAACATAGGTCATCTCATGATACAGTTGATTATATAGTTAATGGTTCATCACATAGCAAAAGTCACCACAGTTCATCACATAAAACAGTTCATCACATAATATAAGTCATTACACGATATGGGTTCATGACGCAGTTCAATACATAACATACAGTACATAACATACCACAGCCCATTTGCAACTTGTCGGTCGAAGATACACTTCCTTGATAACACGAATCAAAAATCAGATCCGGAGAGAGAACAGGTTTTCACTATTAATTGCACTGCCAGGTTATTA